TGGGTTCTAACTTTAAAAACCATCAATCACGACAGTATGCCCAGACCACAACGAGAACCCAGCAGGCGGATGACTTGGGCCGAATACCGGGCCCAAGAAACAGCTCGGACGACCCGGTGGGAGCAGGCGCGGATGGAGGAGCCTGTCATCAGATGGGGCGGGTTCCGGACCGAACCCGTCCAGAGACAAGGTCACCGCAGTTGAGATTCTGCCGTCGCCTCTTCTGGTGGAGGAAGAGGAAATGAGGTCTCAGCTCAGGGGGAGCCGCCTGGCTTTTAAACCAGCTTCTTCCTCCACCCTGCCACCCTGCTCGCTGCACCTGCTGTGGTCTTTGGAGGACGACGCTGAGCTGGAGGGTGAACTCTGGTGCGCTCCTGTCCTCAGCTCACGCCCTCACCGCAGGAGGAATAAGCAGCAAAGATGGGTCAGAACCACCGATCTCCAGCTCCAGCCTTTAACCTGCTCTCCCGCCACGCAGCCTAAAGCACCGGGGAGAATTTCAAAGGGGGAGGAGCAGGCAATCCCCCGCTCGTCAGTGGAGCAGACGAAGGGGGGCCAACCGAAAGGAAAGCCCATTCAGCTTCTTCCCGAGTCCTCTGTTAAACCCCTTCAGGACCAGTCATCCTTCTCAGATAAGTCATCTCCTGAATCTATTGCTTTAAATGATACACTACAAAATCTGCTTTCTTCTGCTAAACTGAACCCGAACTATCAAAACACTTTTTATTCCCTAGCTGAAGAATTATTACTGTCTCAGCCTGCAATAACACAGATCCCAGAGTTCCATCAATTACTCATTAACATAAGGACTTTCAAAGAACAGTTTAAACACCATTCTCTCTCCAGCCATACTGTGCCACAGCAGAACCCACACGAACCTCCTGCTCCTTGTGTCTCAGAGAGGGTCCAGGAGGTCGCCTCTCCCACATCCTCCAGTGCTTCAGTGGGGGTAGGACGCGACACCCCACCTCCTTCCTATGTTTCAGTGGGGGCTGGTCCCAAAGCCCAATCCTCCAGTGCGTCAGTGGGGGTAGGACCCAACGCCCCACCTCCTTCCTATGTTTCGGTGGGGGCTGGTCCCAAAGCCAAATCCTCCAGTGCTTCAGTGGGGGTAGGACCCGACGCCCCACCTCCTTCCTATGTTTCGGTGGGGGCTGGTCCCAAAGCCCAATTCTCCAGTGCTTCAGTGGGGGTAGGACCCGACGCCCCACCTCCTTCCTATGTTTCGGTGGGGGCTGGTCCCAAAGCCCAATTATCCAGTGCTTCAGTGGGGACTGGTTCTGACACCCTATCTATTGGGATCTCTATAATGGTGGGTCCTGACACCTCGTATCGCCCCAAGCCTCCAGTGGGCCCCAAGCCTCCAGTGGGCCCCAAGCCTTCAGTGGGCCCCAAGCCTCCAGTGGGCCCCAAGCCTCCAGTGGGCCCCAAGCCTCCAGTGGGTCCCAAGCCTCCAGTGGGTCCCAAGCCTCCAGTGGGTCCCAAGCCTCCAGTGGGACCCAAGCCTCCAGTGGACCCTGCTCCATCACCTGCTGCTGCATCCCCGTCTCCCGTTCCTAGTTCTCCTGCTGCAGTCCCGTCTCCGGTTCCTGGTTCTCCTGCTGCAGTCCCGTATCCGGTTCCTGGTTCTCCTGCTGCAGTCATGTCTCCGGTTCCTGGTTCTCCTGCTGCAGTCCTGACTCCACCACCACCTGCTGCAGCTCTGGTTCCTGTCCCTGACTCCTTAGCAGCAGCTCCGAACCAATTTCCTGATGCAGCCCCGGTCTCTGATTCTACTGCTGCAGCCCCTGAGGTTTCCACACCTCAGCCTGATGGTCCTCGGTCTGCAGAGGATTCCATGACCAGACCTGAACCTGCCACAGAAGGGTCCGTGTCTCACCTTCAGGGGTCAATGCCACTTGGGTGCTCTACAGCATCTACAGTCTGGCTTCGACGTGGTGGACAGCCTCCAGGTCGCCCGCCTGACCGGCTTCAACGTGGTGGACAGCCTCCTGGCCGCCCGCCTGACCGGCTTCGACGTGGTGGGCAACCTCCTGGCCGCCCGCCTGAACTCTTTGTCTGTCTTTTATGTGTTGTGTGCCTGGTTTCCCTCTTTTGTTCCCTTGTGCCCTCCGTCCTGTTTTTTCCCCCTCCTCCCACCCAAGTTTTTGGGGACAGGGTTTTTGGACGTCTGGAGACGTCCTTTAAGGAGGGGGTAATGTGGTGATATTGCCCCTAGTGGTGTGTCTCTGTCCTGTTTCTGTTCTGTT